AATAAATATTATTGAAATTAGACTTTACTTATGTTCTTTTGTCATCATAGCATTTTAGTTGGTAAGAAATTATTAAGCTTCTGAATTATTATGTAAGAATATGATTACGAATTTTAAATATTTTATTCTTTAGATATTCCTTAATTTCAACCAGTTCACCTTAAAAGAATTACAAACGAAGATGTGAGGATGAATACTATAAAGTTTAAAAAGTCTTATGTTTTGGCATGATAAAATTCACTGGTTATATATATTAACGCTAAGCAAATTGTTTAATGGGTTCAGAGTATTAAAAAAAATAAAAATCGATATTTGGGACTTTAAGTAGCTTTCTGTAAATAAAACGTAGTATATTGATGATGACTTATTTAAGAAGTAATACCTTTGTAATTGCTATCATGTAAATTATTATTAGTTAAATTGATACGCCTAAACATATCTCTTATCTAACTTCCGAATTACCTCCAGGACGATCCCCTAGTATTGCCACCAAAATCAGTTACGTAAACAGAGCTTAAGTTTATTTCCGATATTAAAATCAATGGTTTATACAATAATGACGGTGTTTGATTAATAATATATGTAAGAATAGTATTAACAAATTTTTACAATAAAAATTTTTATTTCTTTGAATATCGTAATACAATATTTCTAAAATAAACACACACAACTTTGTTCATTTTGTCGAATTACGAAACATACAAAATAATAATAAATAATGTTTTTAAAGTGTATAACTTGCGTAAATGAAAGCAAAAAACAGGAACGTGAGGATCAAATTTTAAATGATCTTCGCATGCAAAAAGAAAATACTATAAAATCAGAAGTGCTTGAATATATAGTTTATGAAAAACTTATGGATGTTGAAGGAAAAAGCAATATGTATATGGATCTTGTGACATTTCCTAAACAGTTAACGAATGAGAAGTTGAAGTTCATTGTCATCATATTATGGTTTAAAATTTCTAAATCTAATATTATATTAATTTAGGTACAATGCAATTTTCAATATCCTCTCAGTACAGAAACTAAAGAAACTTTATGTAAAATATTCAAGCATCAACCTTAATCAATTACAAAAGTCAATTTAATGATCGATCTGGTAAATTCAGAAGATAGTGAATTCGAATCGAAATTTTAAGAAAATTCTTCATGAGGTATAAAAAATTTTTCATTATATTGCTTCAAAGTATTAAATCGAACTTTAAACCTATTCGAAAAAATGGTAGATGACATTAAAGATTTTGAACAAGCAAAAAAGCTTCTGAAAACTTAGAGTGGATGTAACAAAATACCTTTTATTAGTGGCATAAAAAATTCAAATTTGAAGCTTATATATATAATAATTAAAATTTAAATTTGGATGTAAATGCATTCTATACATTTGGATTGAGTGTAATTATTTGGATATTTAAAAAAATTCTAATAATATAAAAAAAATGTTGATTATTACTTCAAATAACTTGTGACCTCGTGATTTTTATTATTCTTGTTTGCAGATTGAAATTTAAAAAGCGTTTATGTAACTGATTTTGGTGGCGATACTAGGCGTGTTCTCCAGGACTTATTGATTTGTAACAAAACCCATTGATTTATGGTAGTCCATTAGTTTAAAGTAATAAAATAGTTTTTTTGTTATTTTAGTGTCGGCCATATTTACTAATTATATTTAATTTTGCTTTCTTAATAGCACACTAAATCTCATGTTTAAAACAAAATCAGTTGATATGTTATTTTTTTTATCTGACCTCTTCATTAGGATTATTAATAAAAACAAGTCATACTTCAATTATTTTTACCCTTTCCACAAAAGGTGTTTAGTAATAATGAAATGGTTTTGACACTTGTTAGCTGGTTTAATTCCAAATACTCACTAAACAAAATAAAATTGAATGTACCTTCTATTGCTGCACAAACTTCAATAAACAGAATTAAAATTTATATTACCAATGATGATTCAAATGATTCAAGTGATGATGAAATGGGTGTAACAAAATAGGCTAATTGTTATAAATATGCTAAATCTGCTTGCTGGACAGCAAAGTCCTTTCTTAAATTCACCTTCTCCAAATACTTTTACAACATAGACTCCCTCCAAATTTATCTCAGCAATTAAATTTTACAAACTTCAATTATTATCTTATTCTGTATATTTTCTTTATAGAATGGCTATTTTTATAAATGTCTCCTATTATGGGGTTATGCTTCTTGCAGGAGCTGTGAGGTTAGCTTAAAACAATGATCAATTATTTCGAGTTACTGTAAGTAACTTACTTTATTTTATTATTTTTGCACATATGTAGATTTGGAAAACTTAGTAAAATTTTTCCTAGATCGAACTTAATTACGGATGTTGGTGTTTTTTTTATCTATATGTTATTGTATTTTCTCGTAATTAATTCCATATATTAATTAATATTATTTATATATAGGCTTATTTGCATTTGTCTTTTGGATTTCGCTCAAGTTCTTTGTCAACGTCATAACATTTGGTTGAAAAAATTTATCAAATTTCTGATTCATTCAGGTAAAATTTATATAACACAAAACTTTTAAACAATATATATGCTTTAGCTATTACTTCATTTCAGTCAGTTCACCTTAACTGGGTTACCAATTTTAAGTAAATTATTAACAAGTCATAATAATAATATAATAATAATATTATTATTATTATTATTTAAACCTTTTAGTAGCCTTCTGTAAATAAAATATGATGACTATATTTACGAAGCACTACCTCTGCAATTACCATCTATTGTTTGTAGCAGAATTATGATTTAGATATCCTCTGTCTTCCAATAAATTTCAATAAGCTTATTTATTCAATGGTGCTAGATTTTTTATGGAGCAATCTCCAAAATTCCAAGCGAATGTATTAGAGCTTAGCCGGAATTATAGCTATTTTCAAAAAGTGCAACTAAATATACATCATTATATTATAGAATATCGCACAATTTCCAGATTTCGCCGATTTCATGAATAAGGCCTTCAAAAGAAATCAAAAGGAAATCAGGGAAATCGAGCGGATTTCTCATGATATAACAATAGTGGTGAAAACAGCTGTAAGTAATTATAACCAACCAAATCTATAGTAAATAATCATCTGACACATTATCAATGGCTTTGTTACACTAAAATACAAATACACAGGCGGCTAAATGTGAAAATTTTTCAAAATTGCGTTTTTGATAGACTATATAAGTCAACTAATAGGCCAATCAAAAATGTAACTATCGATGTAACTTTTGTATCACTTTGACTAAATATTAAATGTCCGCTACACTCGGACAATTAAAGTTTGTATCTTATTTTGTGTGTGATTTTATTTTTTCTCTTTTAAAAAAAAAATGGACTCTGAACAACTTCGCAATCTTGGTTACAATCATCAGTATGGTATTGGTGTTAGGAAAGATGAGAAGAAGGCTTTTGAATATTATATGAAAGCAGCTAAGTTAGGAAATTTGTATGCGATGAATAATGCTTCTGCTTGTTATTTTTATGGAATTGGAGTAAAAATAAATTATCAGAAAGCGTTTGAATATTGTAAAAGATCGGCAGATTTGGATAACGCTATTGGAATGAACAAAGTTGGTTTTCATTATGAAAATGGGAGAGGAGTTGATCAAGATAATAATAAAGCATTTGTATATTATAAAAAATCTGCTAATATGGATAATAAAGTAGCAATGAATAACGTTGCTCGATGTTATCGTAACGGTAACGGTACAAAGAGAGATATTCAAAAAGCAAATTATTGGTTCACAAAATATAGAAGTTTTTTGAAAACTAATAAATCGCCAGATCATATAAATCCTGAACTTAAAAGGATATTAGACGATGAGAGATTTAAATTATTTTGGATTGAGTATGAAGAGTTCAGAAATATCGCAAAATGGGGAAAAGGAGGATTTGCAACTGTATATAAGGCAACTTGGAATGACAGAATTAATAATCAATGGATAGATGTTGCACTTAAAGTGATTCGTGATTCAAGTAAAAATGCGCAAGAATTTGTACAGGAATTGAAGAATTACTGCGAAATTGGTTATGAGAATCCTTCGTTCTTGGAGTGCGTTGGAGTATCAAAAAATAATTGTGGTGATTATATTATTGTTATGTGTTTGGCAATACAAGGTTCATTACGACAAAATCTTGTTCAAGTATCTCAATTGGAATGGAAAAATAAATTGAATATTTTGTATTATGTAGCTTTGGATATTGAGTCGATTCATTCACAAAAACTCGTTCACAGAGATCTACACAGCGGAAACATCTTGCAAGAAGATTTGAATAACGCATATATCACTGATCTTGGACTTTCTAAAAAAATAGAGGAAGGAAAAATTTGTGGAATTCTGCCATATATAGCGCCTGAAGTTTTAGTGGGTCAACCGTATATTCAAGCATCAGATATTTATAGTCTTGGAGTTATTGCGACAGAGATTTCGACCGGACAAAGAGCATTTGATGGAATTCCATTTAATGGTGATCTTGTATCAAGAATTATCGGTGGAACAAGACCTAAATGTTTGGGACCAGATTGTTATATTGAATTAGTTATGAAATGTATGGATAAAGATCATGATATACGACCTACAGCAACAGAAATTATTGAAATAATCACACGTTGGTTAGATGAAATGGATCAGGAAAATGAGAATGAAATCAAAAAACAATTTTTGGAAGCTAACAAGATTAAATCAGTACCGAGTAAACAAATACATTCACAAGACACGTACACTAGCAAGCTATATAATTCGAAAAATTTTTCAGAATATTCGATTAGTGAACAAGCAAATTCTCAAATCTAAATCATACTAATGAACAACAATAGGAGATCTATTGTAATTTTTTTTTTTTGTTTGTTAATAATTTAGTTAAGACGGCTAGAGGACAAATACGGTTGCGTTCTACTTAAATTAAAAAAGATCAGTAAGTAGGCAAATATTATATATTCGCGTAATATCTGCATTTGCATTAGCAGGTATCTTTAAGATTAATTGAAGTTATTGAGAAATAAACTTTGCAGTTGTTTATTAATGAGTCTAATCTATACTTTTAAATTTAATCGTTAGCATAAAGTTTAGTTTGATTGTTCAAGTTTGCTGAATTTAGAATTTCATACGATGCATTTTTAATTCATTATAAGCTTATTAATAACAGTTGAGAACGATATAAAATGTTTTTAATGATTATTTTATTTATGTAACATTAATCGTATTGAATGTAGTGTTCGAAAAAGTCAGCATAGATCGGATTCGGATTTGTGCGGATCCAAGCCGTCGGATTAGGGTTGGCTCCTGAAACGTCGGATTGGGCCGGGATTGGGCCTAATTTTAGGTCATGTCATATAATCACTCTACGTGATAAATTCAAATTAGTCACGTGATAAATTAATTCATCGCACTTTGTGTTACAATATAAGTAATATATTCGAATTATCACGTGACATATTCGAACTTATCACTTAAATTGTGACAAATATATGTGATGAACCTCGGATCAATGTTCTATTGGCACAGATCACTCCCAGATTCAACTGTCATTTTTAATCCATTTTTGAACACTAATTGAATGATGAATTATTGTTTATCTAAGTGGATTATGTTGAAATAATTTCTATTGTGGTTTGCAAAATTATTATTATTTTTTTTAATATTAAGGTGAGGCCTTGCTCGTATCTTTATTGAATAATTTATATAAGTAGTTACATAATAAAATTA